CCATCATTATAAAGGAAAGTTTCCCTTTTGTGATTAATAAGGAATCTGTAACTTTCAGACTGTATGACTATCCTATTGCTCAAAAACCTTTCACCCAGTGCTTTTAGCATCCACCAATGACCCTTCCCCATATTAGGAGTTTATACAATGGTGATTTTCTAATTGTTATCATTCTTTTTAATTTATTAGTTGACGGTGTTCTATAGAGAAGAGCTTTCTGCCCTGGCCGGTTTGGCTCAGCGGTTAGAGCGTCGGCCTGCGGTCCTGAGAGACCCGGGTTCGGTTCCCGCTAAGGGCGCGTACCTCGGTTGCAGTTTGTCCCCGGCCCTGGTCGGTTGTGCAGGTGGCAGCCACTCGATGTGTTCCTTTCACATCGATGTTTCTCTCTCTCTCTCTCTCCCACTCTACCTGAAAAATGGAAAAATGTCCTCGGGTGAGGATTAAAAAAAAAAAAAAAATTATAAAGGTCCTGAGAAGAGCTTTCCATGACCAATCCCTCCCTTTTCCTCTAGAAGCAGACTCATAGATTTAAAAGATATATTAAATATGTCATTATCTATCACCATCATTGGATGCCTCTACGCTTTAAAATTTTTTACGACTGCATTTATTTTTCACAGCTGCCTTTTTTTTTCTCTGTCTTTTTCTTTTCTTATAACTTTCATTTATTTAAAAAAAAAACTTTCCCTGATATCTCCAATGACAAGTCTTTTAGGTTGTTGCTGTTATCGCAAGTCCTTGGGGGTCCTGCCTGTCTCAGCTGTCTCTCGCTTACGGCGCGTCCGTTTCCAATACGTGCAGTAGGTGTTCGGGTTGAGCATATTTTCAGTGGGACTTTTAAAACGTCTCTCTCGCCTTCCCGACCTGGGAATCTTGCATGACCCTCTCTGCGGAAGTGCCTCGGGTAATTTCACATTGCTTCGGTTAAGTGTGCCAGGGTATCACCGGTTGGGGAAGTCTTAACGTTAATTTCTTATTTTGGGGATTCTTGTGCTCCACAAGCGGGGTCAATTTAGACTCCATTCACGCTGGGTTCTGTTTCCATCAAACAGAAGTTACAGTCAGTGATCAGTACCTTTATTCTCATGGGACAACTTTCTTTCAGAATCTGTAACTAATTTAGCCAAGTACCCAGTACCAAATGTACAAGAAAGAGCATCTCCTTGTCTCTGTTTTTATGTTACGAACTGGTGAAATATTCTGACTGTTGGGATACCTGCAGTAGAACATCTTCAGGAAGAGCACGGCCTGGGCACGTCCTCTCAGAGCCCCGGACCCTGGTCATGCCCCACAGTGAGTGGACATGCTTGGGCTTCCCCCAAGGTACAGATGAGGCAACGATGTCCACAGAGGGCGAGGGACTTGCCCAAGGTCACACGGAGAGGTGGGAGCAGGGGCGAGAACTCAGGCTTCTGAGAGGCTCTTCCCACTCAGCCAGCTTTCAGTTACCAGGGAGTGAGTCCTGGCCCCAGGTGGCTCTGAGCCCCCACGGTGCTCTGGCCCCTGCCCCCTCCAGGGCACAGAGCGGAGATTGGGTGGGAAGTGGAGGCCCAGACACAGCAGGCGAGCTGGCTGTCTGTGGCCTGCCTCCCGTGGACTTAGGAGATGCACACTTTGACACATGCCTCTGGGTTATCTGCACAATCAAATTTTGAAAAAGTGTTTTGAATCCTTGATTTATTTTTTTGTCATTGTTTTCATTCAAAGGCAAGAACATGCTTTTAAACTGACCTTTTAAACTCTGTAGTGCTCCTGCCACAAAGGGACCCATGAAAGGAACAAAAGGCACATTCCCGAGCGCGGGCACACTTGAAGTCCCCTCCGGTGATGAGAGCTATGGGAAACGGCACGAAGCCTCTGAGCTGGGCCCCTGCAGCTGATGGATGGTGCTCCGGAGGGAAGTCCCATGACCGGGAGTGGCCCAGCTGCGCCCTTCGCAGCGGGAACATCACCCCCACCCTCTCACCACAACTCGTGGCCACCCTTGTGCCTCTTGGCTTTGCCCTCAGGAGCCAGGGGCCCTCTTGGGAGGTTTGGACTTTGTCCCATGGTCTACAGGGAGCCATGGAGGGTTCTGGGCAGGGAAGGAAGCATAAAATAGAAGAAAGCAAACCAGAGTAATTGGAGCCAGAGGCCTGGGTTTGAATTCTGGCTCTAAGCACATCTAAGTTGTGAGACTTGATGTGAGTCACCCAGCGTCTACGAGGGCCACTTGATCCTCAGCATCCATTCGAGAGCACTGCCCTGGAGCTGGGCACACGGGCGGCAGAGGCAACCAGGAGGGTCCTGCAGCCCTTTGTTCCTCCCTGGGGGTTTCTCTCACCACGTGTATTGGTTTCCTGTGGCTGCTGTCGTGGCTTATGACAAACTTTTTGGCTTAAGACAACATGGACCTATTACCTCACTGCTCTGGGGGACGGAAGCCTGAGACCAGTGCCAGGACGGGTTCTTCCCCGAGGTTCTAGGGGAGACTCTGTCTCCTTGGCCTTTTCAGCTTCCAGGGGTCACCGCATCCCTTGGCTGGTGGCCCCTTCCTCCAGCTTCGTGGTGTATCACTCCGGCCTCTGCTCTCGTCGTCACATCAGCTCTCTTCTCGGCCAGTCCGCTTCCCTCTTAGAAGGACACTTGTAGTTACCTTGGTCCAGCGGGGTAACCCAGGTTACCCTTCTTCATCTCAAGATCCTTAACCTAATCCTATCTGCTAAGTTCTTTATACCATAGAAGGTACCATTCACAGGTTCTAGGGTGTGGGTTTCATTGGGGCCATTATTCAGCCTATCACACCACCTCACATTGCAGTTGATGTCTGTTCATTTTACAGGGCAGGTCTCCCTGGGCAGGGGGGCAGGCCTGCCAGACAACTGCCACCTGTTGGCTGGGTGAGTGGGTGAAGAAATGGATGAATGTATGCTTTGGAGAGGCGGAGGAGGTGACAGCCCAGCTGGCCTGTAGAGGGTCAGTGTGGCTTGCCCGAGGAAATTCCAGGTGGAGCGAACATCTTATAGACAGGTGTAGAGCTGGGAAGTTCGGCTTGAAGGAAATGCAGGTGGAGGGTGAGGGTGCAGGGGGGTGAGCTGGGGTGGTGGGTGGCCAGACCATAGCCCACGGGGCACCCTAATGGGCCTGGCTATTGCTTTATAAGGAAACAGTGTATGTGGGGGTCTTTGGAGTCACCGCTTGGGTTCAGGCTCCTGTGCTGCTACGTACTTGCTGTGTAACTCCAGGGAAATTACTGGACCACTCCGACACTCAGTGCAGTAGCTACTTTATAAAGCTGTTCTGAGAAGCAGAGGACGTTTGAAACCTGCAAAACATTCAGCACAGTGCCGGGAACAGTCAAAGGAGTCAGATAACAGTATTTGCTGTTATATTGCGGTCATTTTTATGAATATGATTCTTGATGATGATGATGGGGAACCTTTGACGGTCAGCCAGGCAGCAGTATGGTCCTTTTTTTTTTTTTTACAAAAGATGCCTTTGACACTCATGGGAAGATGTGGGCGACCAGCACAGAGAAGGGTATTCCACAGTGGGGAGGGGGTGGCCAGAAACCAGTCCGGAGGCTACTGCAGTGGTCTGGGTAAGAGATGAAGAGGCAGAGAGGAGAGATGGGTACAAGAGAGGTGTTACCGCCCTCGGGGTATTCCAGACACATCTGAAACGGCTCCTGCTCCCTGTGATTCAAGGTGATTTTAGAGCCCATCACACACCTGTGTCTCCATCATTGCTTTTCAACAGGGACACTGATGTGCAGCAAGGGAAGGACACCTTGTCTCGGTCTCCTGCTGAAACAGTGACAGAGGGTCCTGAGCCTTTAGTGGTGGAGCTGGTGGGGGGAGGGCAGGTCGAGGCTTCAGGCTGGGGTCGGGACGGGTGCCTCTGACAGCCTGTGTCACCCGCCTGCCACCTTTCACATGCTCTGCCGCCCGCCTGTGCCGCCCGCCTCTTTCCTGCTCCCTTCCCCATTCCCACAGGCGTGTGCGGAATCCTGGTAGCGGGGGCACAGGAAGGTTTGAATGGAGGAAAATGGCTTGCTGAGTGGGGGAGGCAGGGCAGGAGGGGCTGCCGTGGGGGGGGGGGCGTGTGGCAGAGCCCCGTGTTCCAGCAGCAGGGCAGGACACCGGAGCCCGGGGCAGCAGGTGCTGGGGTTCGGTACCGCACGTCCTCGGCGGTCTCCCACTCACTCCCCTTCATACGTCCTCAGGAGGAAGCCGATTCAATGGAGCCTACTGTGGCAAGATTACAATCGTTACTTTAATCATATCTTACCCTGCAGGGATGTTGGAGGAAAATATATTTCAATGCCCCCATCAAAAGAGCTGTCATTTTTTAACATAGTAAATGGGTTTTCAGAGAGTTACGTCATATTGTTGTTTTAAATACACTTTTTTTTTAGAAAATGATTTTACTTTAGTTCAGATAGATGCCTGCTGGAGGGGAAAAAAAAAAAAAACACCTAAAGAGACTTAAATACAGGTAGATCGTTTTAAAAAGGTTCCTCATGCATACACCTGAATGTACACATCAGAAGCACAGGGCGTTTTTCAGGTAAGAGAAGGATACAGGGCAGGTTCTTTGGTGCATTTTAAATGGCTTCTGATAGCTTTACAGGAAAGCTGGGAGAAGGGAAAGAAACATAGAGATGTGTGTGTGTGTGTGTGTGTGTTTCCCAGCAGTATTGTGGTGATGTTAGCAAATTAACTTACATTAGGTTCTTGGCAAGTGTCAAATTACATTGTGGGGTGTGTGTGTGTGTGTGTGTGTGTGTGTAAGAACATTCACAGCATTGGAAGCACCTTGGAGATGATTTGGTCCCATCCAACGTGGAACCTGTGGCCCGAGAGGGAGCGTGACCGGTGTGAGCCACACAGAGTGCAGGGCCAGGCCCGAGGGAACCGTCCTTGGAACCCCACCAGCCTCCAGAGCTCCCCCAGCCTCCTCTGCGGTTTGCATCTGTCTGTCCCTCTGCTCTGGTACATTGACATTTTCTTCTTTTCTAGGAAAACTCAGTTGCCAGTGTCCAGCAAGGTCGGTGGTGAGCTGGGCGCCCTGCAGCTCGGTAGGTGTGCCTGCTCCTCTGGGCCGTGCCTGCCGGGGCCCAGGCGCCTGCGCTTGCCCGTGTGGGAGGCGGTGGGAGCAGGGGTCCGCTGGCGGGGCGGGGGCGCCTTTCTTCCCTCCCCCTCGGGAAGGGGGGCTGGCCGGCCAGCAGAGCAGGCGTCTCTTTTGGTTGCCATCTTGTACCGCCCAACTTTTCCTTCTGGAGAAATCTCACGAGGAGTCTGCGCAGTTCCGTAGCCACACTGGGGGCCAGAGGAGACTTCTCTGCATTCGGAGGTTCCCGTAGGGCCATCTAGGGCCTACAGAGGCCTGCAGAAGACCATTCTCAGTCAAAATGCCCATCCGGCGGTGTGCGGGAAAGCCCGTTCTGAACCGTTCACCAGGGGTGAGGGGGTGTCAGACGGGGACAGCGAAGTGCCAGCGCGCACACCGCCAGTGCTGGGCACAGTGCGCTCCGCAGTGGGGCACGTGCCCCGCGCCGCGCGCACTCGTTCGTTCCGAAGTGGACTTCCCCCCTCTCCGTAAGTCTCTGCTCCCCAAAGACCGGAGTGTTTGCAGGGCTTGGCAAGCAGCGGTAGACAGGAGGGCGACCTTCAACCAGGGAGGAGAGGGTCTGCTCTCCTTCCGGAAGCCAGCAATTGACCTGCTGCCATCTCTGCACAGGAGAGCTGTTCACACGCGCCTCCTCTCCTTTTAAGCACCCCCTTTACACCGAGGGCAGGACGCGCCGGGCCCCTCGACGCGCCCTGGACGTGCGGCGGCCGCCGGCTTCGATGCAGGTGACAGGCAGCCAGGCCTCGAGTGCAGGAGGCAGAGCTTGGCTTCTCCTGCTCGGCTACTCCGAGGTGACAGTTCCTGGGCGTCTGAATCGTCAGGAATGGCTAGTGGGGTCGTCTGGTGCCCGGGAAGGCTGCTCTGGCTCTCGGCTGGCAGGAGTGGGCACGGAGCCAGGCAGTGCTGATATCGGGAGCCTTCGATAGAGACTCACTGGAGATTCTGCTCTGAGAGCCACTCCCGTCCGGACATGAAGCGGAGCCGTCCCCACCCTCCGAGCCCCGCGGGCTTCTAGTGGAAGGAAGGCTCTCAGCAAACCTCGCGGAGACTGGCCCTTTGAAGCATGTGTGTGTGTTCCAGGGGGAGGCCTCCCTTCCTGACTCGTGGGTCCGCTAAGGGCTTTGAAAAGGAGATAAAAGAGTCGATGGAACCTAGTCACCAAGGGAAAGGGAGAGAGGTTTTGGCGTGGGGCCAGGAACAAGGACAAAAGTTTGGTCAGAGAGATGGCAGGCCCTTCCCAGCCCCCGTTCGCGTCCCCTGGTTCAGCTCAGCAGCCCTGGGTTGGCGCTGCCATGCCCGGGCACACGCAGGGCCGCTGAGTGGGATCGCGGGGCACCGAAGTGCCCTCCTCCTTGGAGGGCCGGCCTGGGCGGCAGCACAGAAAGCATGAGCCCCGCGGGCTCCCCGCTGGGAGGGACGTCTGGACCAAGTCCTGGTGGGTGCTGGAAGTGTCCATCCAGGTGGGGTTGAGGCTGGGCCCTGAAGGATGGGCACAGTCTTGCCAAGCAGAGGTGTGAAACGAGCCCCGTGGGCCGAGGCCTGGAGTGTGGGAGCTCGGCGTGCGGTGGCCTGGAGGGGAGGTCGCGGGCCCAGGGGAGAGGAGGCCGGGAAGGAAGGCCCTGGCAGGACAGGGTGCTCTCCAGTGCAGTAAGGAAGACTGTGCTGGCGAGTAATGCGCCCAGGGCTGTGCGTTCCGGGCTGCCTCTGGATGTGCCTGCGAGGTGGATTTTAGGGGTAAGAGCCGGGACGTTGGAAGGCCGGTGAGGGGCTCGTGGAATAGTCCAGAAAAGAGGCGACTGCTCCCCTGTTCTATATGGGGAAATGCTATGGGTACTTCAAGACCCTGCTCAAACGTTGACCTCTGTGGGGCCTTTCTCTGACCTTTGCAGGAAGACCTGTTTGCCTCTTTCCTCTGCTCTTAAAACCTGTGCATGCGTCTCTGGTTCAGCACTTACGCTATATTCTCTGGGGCTCTGTCTCCCCTCCAGGCGGGGATCTCCCTGAAGGCAGGGGTGCTGTTTCAGTCATCACCCTTCTCTGTCCCACGGAAGCCCTGGCACGTCGTGAGTCCAGTGCTCGATGAACAGGTGGAAGCACAGTGAAATGTTCCGTAGCGGGGGTGGGGGTGGGGGCGGAGATGAGCCGTCTGGAGGCAGGAGGATCGGGTGCTGGTGTGGCGCGGTGTGTGGGAGAGGGTCCCTGGTGCAGGGCTGGGGCCTGGAGTCCGTTGTCAGGGCCTGGACGAGTGCTGTGGAGAGTCCCGTGCCGGGGGTGCTGGGTCCTTCAGGAGAAGATACTGTGTGATCAGTGCGAAATACCGAGTAGGCGGCTGGGAAAAGATCGATTGGGGCCTCTGTTACATATTACCATCTGCATATGTTTTCCTCCAAGGGGTGCATGGGCTGAGAAACAAGTTCTCCTGCTTCTTTTCAACCAGATATTTATGCCAGCGCCTTAAAAATAGCATTCTCAAACCGCAGCATCAGCAGCCGGTTTCGTCTGCTTGGCCAGCACGCCATTGGACAGCGCTTTGTTTTTCCCTTGCTTGGCGGTCCCACCACATCTGGGCCCCAGGCCTGCTATGTGGTCCTGAACCAACTCCCTAGACAGGGGCCAACGTCCTGGCGGAAGCCAAGGCAGGCTGCTTCCCCTGGGGCCTCCACCCGCTCCGCTTCCCCTGGGTCCCAGCCTCCATCCTCAGACGTACCTCCTGGGGCCCAAGCAGAGCACATTTCAGCCCTGGCTTCATCCTGGACAACCTCAGACTAGAGAGAGGCCTCCAGATAGGCTTACCTATGGCCCCTTCTATTCCTCAGGAAGCAGTCTGGCCTGAAGCATTGCAAGGAGCCAGCCCTTCAGGGCCTGGTGGAATCACTCAGGTTACTCTCTCCCTCTGGTCTGGGCCTCTGGGGTCTGTGGTTGACTTATTTCTATTCCTCGACCCAAAATTCTCAGTATTGATTTTTGCAAAGCCTACCTTCCCTCCCTCCATCCCTCTCTTCCCCCTCCCCCTCCCTCCCTCTTGCCTTTCCTTCCTCATCTTCCTTTGCCCACCCCCAGCCCAGACTCCCATGACCCTCTCCTCCATAGCAACCTTCTCATGTGTTCAGTCGGTACCTTTGCTTGTGCATGGCCTTGCAAAACGTGCAGTGTTGTCTTGTGTGCATGAGTTTGCAATGGATGCAGATCTCATCTGCTTTCCTGCTTTCTCGGCCCGAACCATGTTTTCAAACCCCTTGCATGTTGCTGGGTGAACATCTGGGCTTTATTTCAGGGCATTTTTTGTAAGGTCACGGTGGCTTTTTCAGAGACCCTGACTATGAGAGGTTCTCATTTAAATCCCAGACTTACTAAAGCATTTTTTTTTAGTCCAAAGGTGGAATCTGTCTCCTTTTTGGTGGACTGAGCCCCGAGGCATTGGCCTCATGCTGTGCCTGGTCCTCCAGCATTAAAGGAGGCTGGACAATGAGATATAAGACATGTGTCCTGGAGCTCTTGGCCTTTGGGTACCATCTCCAGAGGATGTGGGGCAGGGACAGTGACATGTGTGTAGTCCCAGACGCACAGAATTATTCAGAGAATGCTGATAGCGATACAGTGTGGTGCGCTTTTTAAATGACCATTTAGGCTTGGGAAAATGGAAAGAAAAACAGGAGGCTCCTGAGGCGCTCTGGAGACCGGTCTGCTCAGCTTTGCCAGCTTAATTGCCTTGGGTGGTTCTCACTTGGGTCCTTCGTCTGAGCGTTCTGGTAAATGCTGCGGCAGTAGGCGGGTGGCGAGAGGGAGCTTCGGCCGCTGGGAAGGCACAGGCTGCTGCTGCCAGGACTCACGCGGGGCCCTGTCTGGGCCCCAGTCGCCCTGGCCATAAGGAGACGTATTCGGAATGTGGCCCAGTGGCCCTTCTGGTTGGTGGTCCAGGGACATCTGACTGGCAGGGAGGCGGACCGATGAGGAGTCCCGTCTCTGCCGCTTCCCATCTGCGGGACGCTGGGCCAGGTGCTTACTTCCTCTAAGCCTCAGTGTCCTCATCTGTAAAGTAGGGGGAGTGATAATTACTCTCTCGAGGTTATTATGGGGCTTAAGTGATAAAACACGAGTGGTCAATAAATGAAAGCCACAATAGCTATAGTCTATTATTATTTTATCAGGAACAGTGGCGTTTCTTGTACTAATTCTGCCTTCTTCATGTTCGTCCTGAGGGGACAGACTTGAGCATCCTGCCCGCCCTTCGTAAGCAATGTGCTGAGCGAGGCTTTCTGGGCCCAACTCGCTGCTCAGACCCGGGCACCTCCCTCACTGCGTGCCCACGAGCAGAACTTTCCCGGGGGCCATAGCTGAGCCCCACCCATTCCCACTTGTCCCTTGTGGCTGGACAGGCGTGGGGTCTGGACAAGGAGCAGGGCTGTGTCTGATGAGGGCCTGGGAGCCCAGGGGGGTGGAGTTGGTGGAGGACCCCGCCTTTCATCCACAGCATGTCAGAACTCAGCAGTGCCTGGGTGCTAGGTGACTTCATCGTCTGTCTTCTGTACCAAGGAGCTCACGTGGCCGCTGTTCTCTTTCAGAGGATGTGGAGGACGAATCGATAGGGGAGGAAGTTACCCTCCCTTCAGTCCCATCAGCGCCCAAGCTGCACATAGTGTCCAAGCCAATCGACCTCTCAGTGGCAAAGGTGGGTGTCAACGTTAAAGTGAGATCGCTACACCTGGATGTGAATGGGTGTGAACTGCTGAGGTGCGAACTGAGGACGTTTTGATTTGCGTTGGTGTGAACAAGGTGATTTTGATTCTTCTGGCCCCATCCATCCGAGCACAGCCAGTCCGTCATTGTTAAAATGGAAATTCGGGTGAGCTGTGGAGGAAAACCTGAACGAAGCGTCGGGAAAATGGGGGCCTCGTCCTGGCGGCTCCCCACCCTCTCCTAAAGGTCTCAGCCTCCTGCCACTCACACGTTCTAGGATCCTGATCGCTGTGCCTGGGCAGCCTCAGTGCACCTGCAGTGGCCCAGAGGGGACGGTGCGAGATTCCTGCCCCGTCAGCGGGCTCTGCTCCTGCGCTAGCCTCTGGGCTCAGGCTGGGCTGCAGTGAGGAGGGCAGGAGGTGCTGACAGTTCTGCAGCTCCCTCTGGGTTCACACCGATGGTACCCCAGAAGGACGCCCCGTCCGGGACCTAGGGAGCAGGCTCCTGGCCTTAGCAGCCTCCTCTGCAGGGGGTCCAGGATTCCTCCCCATTTCAGCTGCCCGGATGGCCTCACCTCCCCTTGGCCAGTGGGATGAACTCTGCTCTGCTGCCCATCACTGGCTTTCCAGCCAGGATCCAGGAGGAAAAATGAAAATTCCTGGGGACACAGCTGACCCCCCTCCTCATTGTACGTACCAAGTATTTACTCAGCACACAGATCAAACGTCAAAGATTTTTCTAGAGGTTTTTTCTCCCCTCCCTTTTCCTTCCTTCCTTTTGAAACCACAAAGGGTGAGATGCGTGTTAGTGGCCCCGAACCTGGGAGGAAGTGCGCTGGCTATCGGTAGCCACAGGACTGTGGCTCTCTGCAGTGGAGACTCGCATTTTGGGGAGGGTCCTTGGAGGCCCAGAGAGACTTCCCAGCAGTAGCATCTCCAGAAGCAGCTGGAAAACCCGAGACCCACACAGGGAAAAGGAGGACCCAGGGCTCCTGTCCAGCCCTGTGACCTGGTGCCTACTCTGGGCTGCACTAAGAGCTGCCATTCTGTGACTGAGAGCAGACATGGGCTTCAGCCAGAGAAGTCAAGTCCCTCTAGGTTCTAGGCTCTTGGGAAACTCAGTTCTAGTACATGAATGATAGTAGTTGGTTCAAGGAACCACGCCCCAACAGATTACCTCACCCAACCCTCTCCTGTGCCACCAGCCCCCGCTCTGATGGGGTGTGGACAAATGCTGTGCCACAGAGAGATTCCTTGCACTGAATGAAAAGAAAAAGCCATTTTAGAGGGAAATAATCTGAGTTTGAAGAAAGATCTCACCCAGAGAGAGGGTCTGGAGAGGTGGCATCATAACCCACATGCCAGCATCTTCAGAGATCCCTGGATGTAAAATCATGGCAGAGAGAGAGGAGGCAGCCAGCATGGGGAGTGGGAACCCAGAGGGAGGTGCTGCCTTCCTGTCCGAGGACCCGTCAGTAGGGAGGGGTTGGCACTTTCTGGGGCTCTGGAGCGTGGGGCTTGGGCTGATGGGAGATGAACTGTAAGCTTGATGTCAGCCAGACGTTTAGAGAAGACAGAGCCTTGGGAGGTGGTGGGAACCCTCACTGGGTGTTTGGGGTGTTCCAGCCAAGATCTTGGGAGACCACTTTTAGGTGATGTTATAGAGGAGGTTCTTACATGTGGTAAGTTATGCTAGAGCAGAGATTGAGACTTTCTCTACAGGGCCAGATAGTGTTTTTTGGCTCTCTGTTGTAACCACTCAACTCTGCCTTTACAATCTAAAAGAAAACTTAGACAGTTTGTGAACAAACGGGCACTGATTGCTGTGTTTCAATAAAACTTTATTTATAAAGCAAGCGGGGGGCCGTATTTGGCCTGTGGGTTTGCTAGGCCTGTCCTAGAGCACCAGTTCTCACTTGACAGCACATTGGAATCCGCTGGGAGCTTTTAAAAATACAGATACTGGAGTCTGAACCCAGGGTTTCTGACTTAGCTGGCCTAGTGTACGGTCTGAGCAGCAAGACCGTGAAGAGCTCAGTAGGTGACTGTAACGTGCAGTCAAGAGCTTCCAAGTTCCTTCGTAAAACTACAATTTTGTGTTTCATGTTTCTTCTAAGGAACCTAAAAAGGTTCTGGCCCGGGTCAGCACAGGCTGGCTGGGTTTACAGATGTTCTAGAGGTAAGACCCTCAGGGTTGATTTTATTTCTTCCAATCTGAGAAGAGTGGGCTTGCAAAATAAGAGGAAAGTAGATAGCCCTTCTGGAGAACGGAGGCCTCTGGAATCCAGCACCAGCTCCGGGGGCACCTTCCCCGAGCAGGGTACCGGTTCCTGTGGGAACAGCCGATAGAAGGCTCTCTCCTTTTGCCAGGACTTGAAGACCCTTCTGTTCGGGTCCAGCTTTTGCTGTTTCAACGAGGAATGGAAACTGCAGAGTTTTTCGTTTCAAGACACAGCCTCGTTGAAGTACGGCATCGTGCAGAACAAGGCAGGTTGCTTTCATGTTTCCCCGGGTCCCTCATGGATAGGGGTGGCACGTGCCCCGGGTTGGCACACCCCACGAACATTACCTGAGCTATCCAGGGCCAGCCAGCCCTACGTTTTCCGGTGGTCGCCCAGTGCGGGGACTTTACCTGTGGCTGCCTCACTGGGAGCGCTGTGTGACGCCGGAGTCCCCTCCGAAAGGTGGCGGAGGAGGCCCTGCCCTGGCGGGGTACCAGGGAGCGTCCTTAGGCTGAGTACTGAGAGATGATTTGCAGGAGAAAGGGTACTGGAGGCAGGCGGAGCATGGACCTAGCGGGGTTAGGGTCCAGGGGTTGGGGCGGGGGAGGCCACGGGAAAGTCCCCGTGGCTGCAGAAATGGCAGAGGCATCAAGTGTGAGAAGCAGAAGCCCGTGAGGAGGTGGTGCGATGAGACGGAGATGCGGGTCGATGGGGCAGGATTTGAACATGGCTCATACATGTTTCCCCAGATGTGCACTTTAAGGGCCAAAAGATCCTCTGAACCCTGCAGTTTAACCGGGCTCCATCTCTCGAGCCCCGGTGCCTCCCCTGCCCCACACTGCCCAGGGAGAACCCCAGGACATCAGCTTCTGTCCCAACATGGCCAAGCTCAGCACGTCTTCCAGCGCCCCCAAGTCAAGGCCCCCACAGCCTGCCGCTGTGACAGCCTTGGTACTTGTCGATACCTATAAGGACGAGCTCTTCAAGGAGCCTCTTCAAGCTGACCTGGGAGGGGACAAGGACACGCCAGCGGGTGCCGAGGCAGGCCACAGGCTGGACGGAAGTGAGCGCCTGTCAGCGGAGGGTGCCCGAGGGGCTGGCTTCTAGCCGAGATGCTTGGGAAAGGCTTCCTGGAGGAGGAGGCCGTCAGGATGGGCCGTGAAGGCTCCAAGACAGTGGACACCCTCAGCCCGCGGACACGGAAACTTTTCCCTGGATGACTGGAACCCTATGGTGACGTCCCGGCTCCACGGCTGACTGGTTGTGAAGTCACTTTCCTCCCATCAGGCATTGCAGGCCTGCTCCTCCCTCCAGTGATGGGTGCCCGGGCCTCGATCATCCCAGCCTGTGAACTTTGTGGGAGTTATCACGTCAGAGACCCCCGTTTCCAAGGCAGTGGCTCGGAGGGCCCCCGGGTCCTGTCACCTGCTGGCTCTGCAGGAACAGAGGCCCTGCCCGGGGCGCTTCTCACTGGCACTAACGCGTGTCCCTCTTTGCAGGGTGGTCCCTGTGGGGTTCTGGCCGCTGTGCAAAGCTGTGTCCTGCAGAAGCTCCTGTTTGAAGGAGACAGCCCGGCGGACTGTGCTCGGTAAGTTGGCGCTCACCCTGTAGTAACCTCCTCCCGAGGCTTCCCCGAAGTGTCCAGGAAAGGCAGGCGAGGGAGCTCACGTGTTCCCTGATATTTCCTGTCTTCTGGAGAGGAAAACAGCGGCTGGCTAATGGGCCTGTACCGACCCGTGAGATGAGCTGCATGCATTTGTCTGAAGGAGGAGGCTTGCTAAGTGCTGTCCACATGGTAGTTGGCTGCCGGGACGGCATCAGAACTCAGCCTCCCCCTCTGAAGTCCAGTGCTGCGGCCGACAACTGCCATCCCCCCCAGTCCAAGCTGCTGACCCCTCGACTGAGCCCAGGTCTCGCCTTCCTTTCCATATCGCCTCACCTCTGCCAACAGCCGTTACCGCACATCCCAGCCAGCCCCACAGCGCACGCTCCCTCCGCCTCCTGCCATCTCTTCTCCGGCTCACACAGTAGGTGCTTGCACACGGGCTCCGCGTGCTCCTGCACCCACGACCATCTCTTCTCCGGCTCACACAGTAGGTGCTTGCACACGGGCTCCGCGTGCTCCTGCACCCACGGCCATCTCTTCTCGGGCTCACACAGTGGGTGCTTGCACACGGGCTCCGCGTGCTCCTGCACCCACGGCCATCTCTTCTCCGGCTCACACAGTAGGTGCTTGCACACGGGCTCCGCGTGCTCTCGCACCCATGCAGCAGGCTTCTCTGGGACGTTTCTGTGCAGGACAAGACAGGGAGTCTCCTCTCCAGAAGCGCTGTCAGGTGGATGGGCGGAGGGACCACCCTCGCCCTGCGCGGTGGCTGGTGCAGAGACCGGGGGAAGGTCTGGCCGGGGCGGGGCCGCCTTCTTCCCGGCTCCTCCCTGCGGGGCAGTGACTAGCTTGTTTTTTAGTTGAAATATAACATACATCCAGACAAGTGCACAGCCCAAGCTGCATGGTTCATACGTGTTCTGCTTAGGGAATCATGTCAGACCACACCCCCAGGATCACATCATCCAGCACCTGGGAGATCCTCCTGCTCCTCCCCAAACTTGTAATTAAACAGACTCTAAAATCACAGTTCAGTCCTGCCAGTTCCTGAACTGGAATTAAAAGCACCTGGTTTTTGAACCAGGCATTTCATCGCCTTGTTTTAAAGCTTAGGTGTCACAAAGGCGACAGAACCCCTTCATTCCCCATCTGCTCAGATTCCGGAAGACCCCGTTCCCCGGATGACCCGCCAAGCTCGGAGCACTTTACCAGCTCCGGTGATTTTGCCTTACACAGGGTCCGAGTGAAGGCAGCTTGTCATGCTTGGCATTTTATAATTTGTCTAATTGCTTTACAAAGTAATAATTGAGGCGTTTTTTCAAGTCAGAGATGCCAACCATACGCACAGCTTCACCCCAACCAGAAACTCACTTGTCCTTAGACACCCCCACTGCCGCCCCGTCCTCCCAGGTCCATTCATCGTGTTTCCGTCCGTGCAGGGTGCTAAGGGCTCACCTGGACACGGACAGGGCTGGGCAGGCCAGCTGGGCGACGCCCCGTGCTGCCGAGATCGGGGACGAGCAGCACTGCTGAGTCCCCTTCACACACGTCCCTGCACGTGCTCGATCCTCCCTCAGGTCCCGTCCCAGCGAACCCCTCTCGCTCCTTCCCGGCCGCTGGGCTCTGCATGCGGGCTTCTCGCCGCACAGAGGCCGTGACCTCAGGGGGCCTTCCCAGACCTCCCCGTTTGAGATAAACCCGGCCGGCCTCCATGCATCCGCCCCTCCGCCCCTGGTCAGTGCCTGTTCATGCACCTTGCTGCCTGTCATTGTCTGCCCACGGGCCCCACCCCCGACAGGCCCCCGGAGAACACAGGCCTTCCTGGGCTGCCTGGTTCACAGCCCCTTCCTGGCATCCGGCCCAGGGCACCAGGCGGGCTTGGTTCCTTGTTGCCCACCCTACATGCCCACTAAGGGGACGTAAGAGCCCCGGGATCCCCAGGCTTGTCCGTGGGGCTGAGCCCTGCTCTCCACACCAGAGAATAGCGGGGCTCGGGAGGCAGAAGGCCATCCAGGTTGGGGGCCCAAGGTGAGCCGTGGGTCAAAAGAAAACCGTGCCCGCTGTGGTCAGCCACTGGCCAAGTGCGGGCTCAGGCCCCACTCATGCTGACAGGTGTGTCTTTCAGCAGCAGTTAGACAGACAGCTCTTCCAGGGCTCTGCTAGGGGGGGACGTGCCCGCTGGGGCCCGAGAGGGGTGGGGTAGCCGGAACTGGAGGCCCTCAGAAGCCTGCCTGGGGGGGCTGAGCTGGGTCACAGGGACCCTGTGGTGGGCACAGGGAGAGAGAGGAGGGCGCTGCTGGCTGCGGGGGGCTCTGTGCGGGAGTGTACCTGGTGGGAAAGCGTCCCACTCTGGGGGAAGGTGCCTGCTGGCCAGGCCCCCTCCTCGAGGGAGTATGTAAGAAGAGGTGCAGGGGAGGGATCTCCCCTCTCTGCGAAGCTCTGTCCTGCCCAAGGCTGACTCTGCCAGCCACGTCCTTTGTACATCTCCAAGGGCTGTGCGAGTGACTAGGACCATGGGTGTCCCTTGCCACGATGCATATGGGGAAACTGAGGCCCGGAGAGGCAGAGATACTTGTCCAGGTCCGTGGCAGAGCCGAGCCTGGCATTGGGCGCCCTGTCTGCCACGGCACTGCTGGGCCCGAGAAGAGACAGCCGTGGGAGAGCCAGAGAGGCCGGGAGGGGCTGGTGCCGGGGGCTTGGGCGTCGTGAATCTAAAGCGCCCGAGTGCTGGACACCCAGCCGAAGAGTGCGGAGACCGAGTGCTGGACACCCAGCCGAAGAGTGCGGAGACCGAGTGCTGGACACCCAGTACCGAAGAGTGCGGAGACCGAGTGCTGGACACCCAGTACCGAAGAGTGCGGAGACCGAGTGCTGGACACCCAGTACCGAAGAGTGCGGAGACCGAGGCCCAAGTGCTGGAGACCGATGCCCCAGTACCGAAGAGTGCGGAGACCGAGTGCTGGACACCCAGTACCGAAGAGTGCGGAGACCGAGTGCTGGACACCCAGTACCGAAGAGTGCGGAGACCGAGTGCTGGACACCCAGTACCGAAGAGTGCGGAGACCGAGTGCTGGACACCCATACCGAAGAAGTGCGGAGACCGAGTGCTGGACACCCAGTACCGAAGAGTGCGGAGACCGAGTGCTGGACACCCAGTACCGAAGAGTGCGGAGACCGAGTGCTGGACACCCAGTACCGAAGAGTGCGGAAGACCGAGTGCTGGACACCCAGTACCGAAGAGTGCGGAGACCGAGTGCTGGACACCCAGTACCGAAGAGTGCGTAGACCGAGTGCTGAACACCCAGTACCGAAGGTGCGGAGACCGAGTGCTGGACACCCAGTACCGAAGAGTGCGGAGACCGAGTGCTGGACACCCAGTACCGAAGAGTGCTGGAGGACCGAGTGCTGGACACCCAGTACCGAAGAGGTGCGGAGACCGAGTGCTGGACACCCAGTACCGAAGAGTGCGGAGACCGAGTGCTGGACACCCAGTACCGAAGAGTGCGGAGACCGAGTGCTGGACACCCAGCCGAAGAGTGCGGAGACCGAGTGCTGGACACCCAGTACCGAAGAGTGCGGAGACCGAGTGCTGGACACCCAGTACCGAAGAGTGCGGAGACCGAGTGCTGGACACCCAGTACCGAAGAGTGCGGAGACCGAGTGCTGGACACCCAGTACCGAAGAGTGCGGAGACCGAGTGCTGGACACCCAGTACCGAAGAGTGCGGAGACCGAGTGCTGGACACCCAGTACCGAAGAGTGCGGAGACCGAGTGCTGGACACCCAGTACCGAAGAGTGCGGAGACCGAGTGCTGGACACCCAGTACCGAAGAGTGCGGAGACCGAGTGCTGGACACCCAGTACCGAAGAGTGCGGAGACCGAGTGCTGGACACCCAGTACCGAAGAGTGCGGAGACCGAGTGCTGGACACCCAGTACCGAAGAGTGCGGAGACCGAGTGCTGGACACCCAGTACCGAAGAGTGCGGAGACCGAGTGCTGGACACCCAGTACCGAAGAGTGCGGAGACCGAGTGCTGGACACCCAGTACCGAAGAGTGCGGAGACCGAGTGCTGGACACCCAGTACCGAAGTAGTGCGGAGACCGAGTGCTGGACACCCAGTACCGAAGAGTGCGGAGACCGAGTGCTGGACACCCAGTACCGAAGAGTGCGGAGACCGAGTGCTGGACACCCAGTACCGAAGAGTGCGGAGACCGAGTGCTGGACACCCAGTACCGAAGAGTGCGGAGACGAGTGCTGGACACCCAGTACCGAAGAGTGCGGAGACCGAGTGCTGGACACCCAGTACCGAAGAGTGCGGAGACCGAGTGCTGGACACCCAGTACCGAAGAGTGCGGAGACCGAGTGCTGGACACCCAGTACCGAAGAGTGCGGAGACCGAGTGCTGGACACCCAGTACCGAAGAGTGCGGAGACCGAGTGCTGGACACCCAGTACCGAAGAGTGCGGAGACCGAGTGCTGGACACCCAGTACCGAAGAGTGCGGAGACCGAGTGCTGGACACCCAGTACCGAAGAGTGCGGAGACCGAGTGCTGGACACCCAGTACCGAAGAGTGCGGAGACCGAGTGCTGGACACCCAGTACCGAAGAGTGCGGAGACCGAGTGCTGGACACCATTACCGAAGAGTGCGGAGACCGAGTGCTGGACACCCAGTACCGAAGAGTGCGGAGACCGAGTGCTGGACACCCAGTACCGAAGAGTGCGGAGACCGAGTGCTGGACACCCAGTACCGAAGAGTGCGGAGACCGAGTGCTGGACACCCAGTACCGAAGAGTGCGGAGACCGAGTGCTGGACACCCAGTACCGAAGAGTGCGGAGACCGAGTGCTGGACACCCAGTACCGAAGAGTGCGGAGACCGAGTGCTGGACACCCAGTACCGAAGAGTGCGGAGACCGAGTGCTGGACACCCAGTACCGAAGAGTGCGGAGACCGAGTGCTGGACACCCAGTACCGAAGAGTGCGGAGACCGAGTGCTGGACACCCAGTACCGAAGAGTGCGGAGACCGAGTGCTGGACACCCAGTACCGAAGAGTGCGGAGACCGAGTGCTGGACACCCAGTACCGAAGAGTGCGGAGACCGAGTGCTGGACACCCAGTACCGAAGAGTGCGGAGACCGAGTGCTGGACACCCAGTACCGAAGAGAGCGGAGACCGAGTGCTGGACACCCAGTACCGAAGAGTGCGGAGACCGAGTGCTGGACACCCAGTACGAAGAGTGCGGAGACCGAGTGCTGGACACCCAGTACCGAAGAGTGGGAGACCGAGTGCTGGACACCAGTACCGAAGAGTGCGGAGACCGAGTGCTGGGACACCCAGTACCGAAGAGTGCGGAGACCGAGTGCTGGACACCCAGTACCGAAGAGTGCGGAGGACCGAGTGCTGGACACCCAGTACCGAAGAGTGCGGAGGACGATGCTGGACACCCAGTACCGAAGAGTGCGGAGACCGAGTGCTGGACACCCAGTACCGAAGAGTGCGGAGACCGAGTGCTGGACACCCAGTACCGAAGAGTGCGGAGACCGAGTGCTGGACACCCAGTACCGAAGAGTGCGGAGACCGAGTGCTGGACACCCAGTACCGAAGAGTGCGGAGACCGAGTGCTGGACACCCAGTACCGAAGAGTGCGGAGACCGAGTGCTGGACAACCCGTACCGAAGAGTGCTGGAATGGACACCAGTACCGAAGAGTGCTGGACCGAGTGCTGACACCCAGTACCGAAGAGTGCGGGAGACCGAGTGCTGGGACACCCAGTACCGAAGAGTGCGGAGGACCTGAGGCTGGACACCCAGTACCGAAGAGTGCGGAGACCGAGTGCTGGACACCAGTACCGAAGAGTGCGGAGACGAGTGCTGGACACCAGTACCGAAGAGTGCGGAGACGAGTGTCGGACACCCAGTACCGAAGAGTGCGGAGACCGAGTGCTGGACACCCAGTACGAAGAGTGCGGAGACCGATGGCTGGACACCCAGTACGAAGAGTGCGGAGGACCGAGTGCTGGACACCAGTACGAAGAGTGCGGAGACCGAGTGCTGGACACCCAGTACCGAAGAGTGCGGAGACGAGTGCTGGACACCAGTACCGAAGAGTGCCGGAGAACCGAGTGCTGGACACCAGTACCGAAGAGTGCGGAGACGAGTGCTGGACACCCAGTACGAAGAGTGCGGAGGACCGAGTGTGGACACCCAGTACGAAGAGTGCGGAGACCGAGTGCTGGACACCCAGTACCGAAGAGTGCGGAGACCGAGTGCTGGACACCAGTACCGAGAGTGCGGAGACCGAGTGCTGGACACCCAGTACCGAAGAGTGCGGAGACCGAGGTGCGGACACCCAGTACCGAAGAGTGCGGAGACGAGTGCTGGGACACCCAGTACCGAAGAGTGCGGAGACGAGTGCTGGACACCCAGTACCGAAGAGTGCGGAGACCGAGTGCTGGACACCCAGTACCGAAGGTGCGGAGACCGAGGCTGGGACACCCAGACCGAAGGGCCGAGGAGACCGAGTGCTGGACACCCAGTACCGAAGAGTGCGGAGACCGAGTGCTGGACACCCAGTACCGAAGAGTGCAGAGACCGAGTGCTGGACACCCAGTACCGAAGAGTGCGGAGACCGACACAGCCAGTGCCTGGGCCCGGCTGCCTCGCAGCAGCCAGCGGGTGGCTCTGTGTTTCATGGAGGGCTTCTCGACAGAACCTCCTTTCCCCTAATTTGGAACAAATCAGTACAGAAGAGCACAGAGACTAGCACAGCAAATACCTGGGGACCCGCTGCCTCACATGAGCAAAGGGTGACGCCTGCTATCTCTGTGGGGACCGCTCTCAGTTCCCAGCTCCTCTGGTTTCATTGATTTGCTTTCAATTTTGATCTTGATTGACTGGGTCACTGGCGTTCTTGCACGGGCCTGTGTGCTGGCTTGGGTGGGGCGTCAGTGCTCCCTGCTGACTCTGAAATTCCAGGATGTCAGGAATGACCCAGCTTAAAAAAAAAAAAAAAGAAACGCGGGCACACTCCTTCTCTCCAGGAACACCTGGCACAGCTCACCTCGCCGCGTCGGCAGCTGGTGAGCTCTGCAGGGGGCGCTCTCGGACCCGGAGGGGCTCTGCACTTGCCGTCCTGTGCCGGGTCTGCAGGCCTGGGGGTGCAGGACCCCCCCGCCCCTTGGGGATGTGGTTCCGTGAAAGCCACACGGAGGATGTGACTGCGCCGTCCAGGGAAGTCATGCCGAAGTAAAGGTTTCTTGGCAGGGTGGTGATTTTTCTGCGGGGCTGTCTGGTTTCACTGAGGCTCACTCAGGCTGGCAGCTGGCCTCTCACTCGGAGAGGGCAGGGCGGCTGGCAGGACTCGGTGTTTTTCCACTCGAGGAGGGTTGTGCCAGCCTGCTGAGCGGGTGGGAAGAGACGATGAGCCCTCACAGCCCCGCAGCCTGGACAGAGCCACAGACAAGGACGGCGTCACTCACCTTCCCTCCTAAAATCAGGGAGTTTGAGGCCCAAAAAGGGAGAGGCACTTGCCTGAGACCCCACCAGGCGTCAAGGGCAGGTTTGGAACCCAGGTCCCTTGGCCCCCAGCCAGCCCTCCTTCCACTCCGCCAGCAGCTTTTGACCGTGAGAGAGCAGATGGGTTCATCAACCTCCATCCACTGGCCAGCTTTCCTCTGAAATTTCTACAATCTCAGACTAGATAGGTCTGGTTGCTTTAAAAGAATTGGGGTAGAAGCATCTCTGGAAGACTGGGGTGATTTAGGCAAAGGCAGAAGGGACTGTCTCCCCACTCAGCCCTCCCGGACAGGTGCCTTCGTCCCGAACTCCTGTGGGAACTAGACTCTTAGAGAAACTCCTTGGTTTCAGAGCCCAGCCAGGTGTGAAATGCGTGTGGGAGGTTGGCCAGTGTGTCTGAATGCCTGATCAGGCCACGCAGGGCCATCCTTGTCACCGAGGGTGGCCAGTGGAGGCAGACCGTTATCGGGGACAGTGGTCTGGGCGATTGAGCTCATCAGCTCCGTCCTCTTGGTGTGCGTCTGGACACACGCGCACCCTGTCTGCCCGGGGTTCACTCAGTGGCTCCATGGCAAGACTGGAATGAGGCTTAGGGGCATCTGGCCCAGGGCCCCTGTTGTAGGTGGGGAGGGGGAAGTCAGCAAGGCCAGGGGCCTCCCAAGGCCCGGGACCCCTGTCCTTGCCCCAACCCCACTGTGCTGTCTGGACGAGGCTCTGGGAAGGATGACACCGGGAAGGTGACTGTGGAGACCGGGAGAAGGAGGAGGACTTCTGTGCAGAAGCATGGAGGGAGGCTCTAAGGGTCAGCATCCGGGGAGCAGTGTGGGAAGACGGCTCAAAGGCACAGGGAGGCTCCTTCTCAGAGCCACGTGCACCCGACGTCGGCTCCGTTCCCCAGTCCTCCTCCCTCCCTCAATGCTGTTCTGAGTTCTCATTTTTACTGTGTGGTTTAGGGTGAACCCTTTAGTCTCTGTGCCCACTTTCCCATTTTGAAAGGGAGGCTGTAGCTCCTCCTCCTTCATGGGGTGGGGTTATGGCGAAGGAAAGTGCAGCCCTGGGAATGGGAAGGGCCGTTACCCCTCCTCCCTCTCATTCACTCACCGGGCCTGAGTGACCCGGAGCTCTGCCCGTTCTTCTTGAAGTCCTCTCGCTCTTAGCTGGGGGACGGACCCTCCCGGACGGACCCTCCCCCATTCGTAGAGTTCCCCAGGGTCCCCTCCTTGGCCACTGCCCTGCCCTTCCTCAGCCTTTCTGGGCACCCTTAGCCAAGGGCCCTCGGGTGCTCGTGTCGTAAACGTGCACCCAGCCTGGCCGCCCTCCTGGGCTTTAGATGTGTTCGGCAGCGTCACCTGGACGTCACATGGGCACCTCCAACTGTGTCCCGCAGCCCAGACCCCGACCCTGCATTCTCCATCTCCGATCCTTCCTCTCGCATCCCCGCACCGTGACTTCTAAGTCACAGGAGGTCAGGCTGCCCACCCCCCACTGCACCCACCCCTGTGGTCTTATTTCCTGTGCTGGTGGGGGGTGAAGACCCCGCTCGCTCAGCTGTGGTCCCCAGCCGCCCGGGTGTCGGGCTGGGCGTGGCGGGGGCAGGGCAGTGCCTTGCTGGTGCCCGAGAGGGCTTTCTTTCCTTGGATGGCAGCAGGTCTGGGCCACTCTGCTTGGCCGCCTGGGCTCTCAGAACTCACTGCCCTTTCTTACACCCCAGGGCCAGTCGGGCTCCAGTCCCCTTTGCTCCTCCTCCAGCCCCGCCCGGGGCCCCTCCCTATAGACTCCTCCTGTGGTCCTCATCTGAGGGGTACCTCCCAGGCTCTGCAGGGAGCCTCTCTGGGGGCATAGACAGGTCATCTGCCGCGGGGTGCACTGTCCCTGGTTTCTGTCCCCACAGACATAAACGCATTCCCTTTTTTGTCCTCAGGCAGCTGCACCCTTCGAATGCCCACAGGACCCACTGCCTGGCCCTGGCCATCGCGGACATTTTGTGGCGGGCTGGGGACCACAAGAGAGCCGTGGTCACACTGTAAGTGCGTCCAGGGCTATGTTGCTACCACTCAACCTCGGGTGGCACAGCTGGCTGTGTGTCGTCCGGGATAAGGACCCAAGAATCGTCTGGTCTGGAAGCCTCAGGGAACAGCCCCTTAGTTGACCCAGTCACCTTCCGATTTGTCCCTCTCCCACCCCCAAAGCACACTTTGTTTGCTCTGTCACTTGGGTCCCTGTTCCTTTGAGGAGGGGACTCAGGTGAGCGGTCGGTGGTGTAGCCAACAGCCTTTTCCCTGCTGTCTCCTTCCAACCCCAGACGGAGGATGGCGTCCTCGTGATCCACGTGGCGGGCTGGCTGGCTTCTCCGCCTGACCCTGCAGAATGGACGCGTCACTGCCCCAGCCATGTGGCCCAGCTTAGTAAGGGGGCGCCTCTTCCCAATGCTGTCGCTTATTGGCTGTGACATTGGCAATTGACTCAGCTTCTCTGTGCCTCATCTCTCTGCTCATCTGGAAAATGGGGGTGATGACTAAAAATCGGGTGATTATGAGGGAATTAAATGAGTCAATATAAACAAAATGATGTATAATAAAAGATAATATCTATCAATTTAAAATCACAAGTCCATATAAATACATGATAAATACTAAGAAGTGAGTGTGGAGTGTTCAGGACAATGCCTGGGACATTCCTAGGTGCCATGTCAGTGTAGGCAGTGTCAACATTGCTCTTCTCGACCCTGCGGAGTGCCCGTCCTTGGTGCCCATGCTCTCGGTAACTTATCAGGCCTGGGCCTTCGGATCTGCCGGCAGCCTGGAGCGCTGATGGGCAAACATCCCATCTCTTCCCGCTTTGCAGACGGGGAGAGAAGCCAGAGGGGGCGGTGCCGGCCCAAGGCTGCACCGCAGCCCGTGGCACAGGGGGCCCCCAAGTCCAGACCCTAGTCCACGGCTTGCTGGGCGCACCCGCAGGCTGTTGTGGAAACCTGCTGATGGGCCGGTGGGAACCGGAGGCTAGGGTCCCTGATGCCCCTGAGCACGAGGGCACCAGCCTCCCTGGGTCTGTCAGTCGTGGGTCACAGGCCACCTTCTTTGGCCACCCCAAGCTCTCCTCCTGCTGTCTCTTCCATTCTTCCCCCTCCCGTCTGTTGGCGGCACTCTCTGGACCCAGCCCGTGGGGGGAACGAGAGCCTCTGGCTCCTCCTCCCGCCGAACCACCTTCTCGTCCGCCCTCATCTGATGGTTTCTCCCGGCTCAGGTCACGTCTGCGTGCCACGCGCAGGACTCATGCCTCTCCATTTCCTTTTTAGGGCTTCGGGAACACAGCAGTTCATTCCACTGGGGAAATACAAAGCAGATGGAGTCCTAGAAACAGTACGGCTCTCTGGAAAATTGTCATGGAACTTGGGCTGGGTTTGGGCACGGTCTCCTTTCGTATAAGTAAATCCTTCCTCCGCTGGGGAGGGGCCAGCCCTCCCCGTGGCCCTGGCCAGCAGAACCCTTCTCCTGGGGCTGGGGCGGGCAGAGGTGGGGGTTTTGGGGACGGGTTCTTACAGAACTGGCTTTACGGCCCAACAAACGCTGCTGGGCGGCCGGGGACCTCGAGGCGGTACCAAGCCTGAAGCTTCCCCAGCAGTCTGACGCGATGCCGTTGTCCAGCCCAGCCTCCCCGTGCCTCCCTTCATGTCCTCGGTGGCCCCTCCGGGGTTGTTTCGAGGGGCAGTGGGAGGCGGTGTGCGGGGTGGGGGGAGTCAGAAGGTGCAGAAGAGCATTGGTAGGGTGAAGCGTCAGCCGCAAAACCAGACCCAAGGAAGACAGAGGAGGGGAAAGAGAAGGGACACGTGTGACAGTGTGGAGCCCTGACCCCTTCTCCTCCTCGCCGAGGATGGAGACCGAGGACGAGTTCCTCTCCTCTTCACCAGGGCGTTGGCCTTACCTGGTGTGTTTCGTTTAGCCTGGGTTTGGGCGTGCGTGGCCCTGGGGGCCTAAGGAAGGGCCTCACTTTGTTGGATGTTTTCTCGAAAAGTGATTTTTCCTGACTTGCCTGAGAAAGCAAAGCAAACTCGTTACCTGCTGCTGTCCACTTGACTCACTGGGTGGCGATTTGGATAGGACGCCCGCCCCATAGTCAGGACACTGCCTGCTGGGTGGCGATTTGGATAGGACGCCCGCCCCATAGTCAGGACACTGCCTGCTGGGTGGCGATTTGGATAGGACGCCCGCCCCATAGTCGCCGCCCCACAGTCCCCTGCCCCTAGGTGCTCCTCAGGTGCCCGGGCTTGTGCACACCTGTGTGCTTGTGTCTTCTCAGCTCACACTCCACAGTCTGACCTGCTATGAGGAGCTGGTGACTTTTCTCCAACAAAACATCCACCAGGTATGCACGCTGGTTGAGTTTGTGGGTGCGTGTGGTTAAGCCTTCTCCTTTGTAGGTGGGATGCTGGTGAACTGGAGTTGTCCCCCCTTACCCTCAGCCTGCGGGTTCAGGGGTAGAGGCTGGGAAGGAGCTGGTGCTGGCCCTGGGCCCCGTGGCTGAGGTAAGTGGGTGGTTTAGGCTGGCCATGGCCACCCGGCACCGGATGCTGCCACAGCAGGGACGGCCGCGGGGACGGAGTGGGTCCCAGTGAAGGGAAGCAGCTGACAGATGGTGATGATGAGAGCTTGCTGTCTGTCTGAGAGGTAGCAGCCACCTCCAGAAGCAAAGTCAGTGGGGCACCAGCTGGGGAGGTGATGAGAACATGGATTTCTGGGCTGGGTTGGAGGCCCGAGCACTGCTGGAGACCCTGCTCAGTGCAGGCCCTCGCATGGTGCCCTGGGAGGCGGGGCAGGGCAGGGCGGAGCATCAGGAGCACCACCTGCTGGAGGAGGTCTGTGCACCACTCTTGGCTGTGAGGGGGCGGAGCGTGGCCTGGGCCCCGCAGCTGCACAAAGGCCGGGGCTCAGAGCGGGGCTAGAGCCCGTGGCTGTGTGGAGGACGGACGGGGTTGAATGCTCTGAGGGTAAAGGACATGTCTCTGGAGCTGTCGGCCTGGATTTGCATCTAGGATACACCCCTTAGTAGCTCTGTGACCTTGGGCCTCAGTTTCCTCACCTGTACGATGGGGATGATAGTAGCAGAGCCTGCCTCAGAGCACTGTGCAGAGCGTCCAGCTCCGCATTCTCAGTGATTGTTAGTGTCCCCTGTGGATGTTATGATCACCAGTGCCACAACTATTTGAGAGGGTTAGTTATAGACACGTGGGAAGGAGAGGGAGGCCTTACAGAGGGAGGCTGCAGCTCGGTCCAAGGCCAGGAGGCTGATGGCTTCTGAGATCCCGACCGCGCGGCCTCACAGTCCTGCCGTCTGTGTGTCAGCTGCAGGAGAGAGCTAACCCACTCTCCGGGGGCAGGCAAACTCTTGGGCCTCCTCCGTGCCTTTCCTTCGGCCTCTGGGCCTTAGGCTCCAGAGAAGGCGTTAGATGATTTGGGGGTGAGCCTGGAGGGTGGGAGGACTTGCTGGACGTGGGAACAGGCTGCACACTCCTGTGGTCACAGTCTGCTCTCCTGGCACAATTCACCGATGACTGGGAAGTGCCCTGGCCCTCACAGCATAGACGCCTGGGCAGGGAAGTGGGGCCTGCGGAGACCATGGGAGACAGTGTGTGGTCACTGGGGCATTGGTCCACCCGAAATCCTTACCCCCAGAGCTGTTGGCTCAGGGAAGCTCAGCCCCAGGAGAGACCCAGAGCCAGGCCCGGTGCCCAGACTGGTACCCAGAGGAGGTGCTCAGACCAGGGGCTGCCTTTTTGCACTGGGAGGTGCGTGGGAGGGGCTCTGACGTGGGAGGGTCCTGGCCTAGGTGTCAGGAGTCTCAGGCTGCCTGGGCCTTGTCGCCTGTCCCTGGCTCTCTGGGTCCAAGGGCGTAACCCCGTAGACCATCTGCCAACTCCGTGTGTTCCCACCCGGCCCCGTGCGGCCATGGTGGCCTGGAGCAGGGGCCTGGGGACCTTCAGGAAAATCACTGGGCCTCAGTTGCCTCATTTGGAAATGGCAGGTGGAACAGTTAGTAGGTAACTTTCAGCTCTTTATCCAACCATGGTCCCTAAAGGAGGAACAGATGCAGGGGAAGAATGTCTCCCAGATCAGTACCAGACACTGCATACACAGAGAGAAACCAGTTACTAGGTCCTCAGGCGCCGAGACGATGCAGCCGTGCATCGGAGAGAAGGGCAGAGCCTGAGGCCAGCGGCGTGTGATGGGGCCGGGGCCGGGCCACGGGCGTCTGTGTTCACGCTGGTAGGTGCAGCCGCTGTGGCACCAATGAGGCCAGGAGAGGGGGGCGCCTGGCGAGGCTTCTGGGGGGCAAAGGAGGGACCCTGGGGTGACTGACCGCATGACCCAAGCATCTGAGGCCCCATCACCACCCACTGATAGCCCCTGGGTGACCCCTCAGCATCAAAGTCTCCTCCATCCTTGAGTATAAGATGGGGCCTTCCTCCTCCTGTGGCCTGTACCCCGAGGTGTCCATGAAGCCCAAGTAAGACAGTGGCTGTGAACGAGGTTCAGGGCGTGGGGCCTGTGCCAGGAGAGGGAGCCCCTTCTGTCAGCCTCTGGGCTCAGCAGCGCCCCCCCTTGCCGGCCTGGTCCCTGGGTACGAGCGGCTGAGAGCGGGCCCTGCTCTCTGAAGGCTGTGTTTTCCCTGCAGTTTAGTTTATGTTTTTGCTGGAAGCCGTTGAGCTGCCTCAGCACAAACCTCACCAAATTCATTTTTCATGGCCTGGGCCTCAGAGGGCTTGCTCATGCCAGGCTGGAAATGAGCACTGAGCCATCTCTGCCCAAAATAAATAGCCTCCTTGCTGTGTTTTCATTACCGCTCACCCTCTGGGCGAGATGTCTGGCTGGCACCCCGCGAGCTGGGGCATGCCTCCGCCCCTCCTCCTGTCGGGGGTGCTTGGTGGGCTCGGGTCTCTGCAGGCAGAGCAGCGGGGGGAGTGGCCCCTCTTCCCGAGAGGACCAGACGTGTCTCCTAACCCTAACGATGGTTTCCGGCCCTTCAGCGTCGGCGCCTGGCCCTGTGGGCTCCCATGTCTTGGCAGCTTGAATTTGATGAGACAATTTTAATAATTTTTTTTTTAAAACCAAAATAGAATATTGGTACCATTCAGTCATGTTCTGGCCAGGGCCGGGAGCCCAGGCAGGGGTCACTTCCTGCTGTCTGTCGTCTCGCCTCACCGGTCTGCAGGGAGCCGTGGCCAGGCTCGTGCTCAGGTCCCCTGAGGGTGTCCCGATGACCGGAGAGCTGGCCCGAGCAGTCACACGGTCCTTCACGCTCGCGGAGAGCCATCGCTGGCCGTGGCCTGTCCTGCAGGTGGACGGGCACTGCGGCCGGCAGGGGGAGCAGGCCGAGGGCGCGTCACGACTCCCTCGAGACAGTGGGCAAGTCCACGGCAGAAGCAGACAGGCATTTCAGAAGGGGAAACTGAGGCGAGCGGAGCTTTGCCATTCCCTAAGGCCACCTGCAAGTCTGGCAGAGCTGGGACCGGCCGCAGGGGCCGAGTCCTCCGGCCGTGTTCCCGCTGCAGGATGTCGGTGCTGCCCTTTGTGGTGGTCGCAGTGCGTCGCAGACGTGGTCTTCTAGCGTGTGCCCCACAGCGCGGAAATATGCCAAGTAGGGGTGCACCATCCTCTGCTGGGGACACTGAGGACGACAGGAGGGCAGTGAGGGGCCTGACGGCACGGAGTTCAGAGGCGGCGGGTTGAAGGTTGCGGTTGGTTCATTCGTTCCGTTTCTATTTCCAAAAAAACGATTGGAAGTTGCTTGTTGGAAACGACGCCCTCGGGGCTCGTCTGTGTTCTGACTGGTGCACCTGCTCTCTGGCTTCCAGGCCGTTGCCTGTGCTTTTCCTCTCGCCCGGAACGGCGCTCCCTTCTCAGCGGACCTCTTGTCCCTGGGTTTCCGTTCAGATGGCGTCCCCGCCTTCCTGAGCTGGGCTCTGCACCGAGGGCCCCTCCCGCGTGTGTCCAGGGGTCCTTGCATTTCCCATCGGAGCGGAGCCCCTTCCTCACCCTGTGCAACTACCTCTTGTCCCTTCTTCCCTGCGTTGCTTCTCATGAGGGCAGATCCGTGTCTACCTGTTCACAGGTAAACCCCTAGCAGGGAGCATCTTCTTGGCACAGAAATTTCATGTGGTGCCTTTTTTTTTTTAATGATTAAGTGAGTTACTAGATAAAAGTAAAGACTATATTTTGAGAAAAATAAGTAAGAGATAATTTTATCAGAAACTTGAACTAAAATAGTTACACAGTTGAGCATCGTATTTGTCTCTGAGCTTCCTGGCAGCCAAGGCAAAAATGGAAATATGATAAATTCTATCATCCTTACTGTTCCAGGAAAACAAGATTTTTTTTTTTCTGGATATGAATTCAAAAACAAACCAGTCACATGTAAAGAACTGACTGTTTTAACAGGCAGCATCTTTGACAACATTTCGTAGAAGTGGTATCATCACTGACGTGGGATGAGAAGGTCTTCACACTGACTTGTAGGTGGGGGACGGCATTCCTCTAGGGAACCAAAGTGACGTGGTCCAGCCCAGCAGACCAGCCTGCGGGGCTCACTGGACAGGTGGGCAGCGTGGAGCCAGTGTCCTGCTGACACTGGTGCTGGGCCCTGTCCCAAGTGCTTTACAAAGCTGACCTTGTGATGTTCGCAGCGACCCGATGAGGGCGGGTCCCATCATTGTCCTTATTTACAGATGAGAAGAGGGGGGCGGAGAAGTGAAGACACGTCCCCGGGGTCACACAGCTGCAAGTGGCAGAGTTGGGATGTAGACCCAGGGACCCAGGCTTTCAGCCGTGGGCTCCAAACCTGGGTTGGGACCAGGGCGGGACAAGTAAGGTGCTCACCTTGGGTGCCAAATTCAAGGGCGTACCCCAAACCTCAGCAATCAACATAAATAATATTGTAATGCAGAATCTAAAATATAACAAAGTTAATCCAAAAAATCCATGAGGAACAGAATAGAAAACATTTTTCAAAGACCAGACCTGCCCTTACCTGCCCAGCGCACCTCGGCGCCCCCCGGCCCGACTGCCGCAGGCCGCTCTCTGCTGCGCCCTTGGCAGCCCCCTGGAGTACGGGATTCGGACCCGGCAGATCCCGCTGGGCTGCTTACCAGCTGCACGACCTGGGCCAGTTTCTGAGCGCCAAGTTCCTGATGTGGAGAGGGCTGTGCCGACGGTCCTTCCTGGACAGGTCTGTGGCGGCTCGTGATGTGACGAGAGCGTAAGACACTCGCATTGGTGATGGCTGCTCCTGCCGCTGCTGCATCCAGAGCTTCCAGGACGTAGGGGTCGAGGGTGTGCTCCTTGGTGGGCACGGGGTCGATTCCTCCCTTAGGGGGTCTGCCGGGAGGTGTGGACTGGACGGTGCTCATTCCTTATCCATTTTTCCTTTTCCCAGTTCGAAGTGGGCCCCTTCGGATGCATCCTGCTCACGCTGTCGGCCATCCTGTCCCGGTCCACCGAGCGGTGAGTGTCTTCCTCCCGCAGCTCCCGGGGCTTGTCTCCTTGTTCACTGCGCCTCCCCGTGCCCAGGGCGGTGCGTGGCACACAGCGGCGCTCCCTTAGTGAGCCTGGTGGAAGGCAGTGGAGGCTGGTGGAGGGGGAGAGCAGTTACAGCCTCACACGCGTGTCCAGTGCTGCCTTCTCTTTGTTCTCCCACATGTGCTGGGAGCGTGGGAGGTGAGCTGGGAGTTCACTGGGCCCACTGCAGCACGCACGGAGACCCCCCTGGGACATGTGTGGGGATGGGCAATTGAGTCTGAGACCTGGGAGGGGACTGAGGGCCTGTGTGCCCAGGGAAAGGGCGACTCACCCTCGGCCACGGCAGAGCGCAGGTGCAGAGCTTGTGTGCACGACCAGCCTGAGAGATGACCGGCGGGCGCCCTGGGGCCTTGGAGGCAAAGGGAGTGCAGGGCTGAGCCTGGCTCCTGCATCCTTATGAAATGTGGCCTCGGCCTCCTCAGAGCTGGAGTTCCCCCCTCATGCTTATTCCCTAGGAGCTTTCTAGAATCCGTGTATATACCCGTCGCCTGGCATTGTGTCACCAGGCAGAGTTCAGGTTAATGGCACAGTAACAGTTTTGTGAAGCACAATCGATTGCTGCCTTCACTTGCAAGCAGAGAGCAGGCTCCAGGGTGTGGAGGCCTGGGGGATGCATTTCCACTTTGAGGTGCTTGGTGTGGGGGCAGATTTGGGGATACCCCTAAGCAGGCAGGCCACGGGAAGTGGGGAGGTGGAGAGCGTCTCCATGCGGTGCGGTGCCCGGGCTGGGGGCCCTGGGAGGAAGGAGACACTTGCTCCCATGACGGCCTGGGCCGGCTGCCCTGCTCCCCGTGGCCTCCGGTGCCCGTGGGAGGGCAGCTGGCTCTGGACCTGGGCCGCCGCCTGCCTGCTGCGTGCTGCTGCCGACCTGGCCAGCCACGTGTGCCCACAGCGCTTTCTAATGGCATTTTCTCCTAATCCTGCCATAATGACGCGATTCCTTCTCGGCCCGGGCTCACGTGCATGGAGACCTTAAGCTGCACGGCCCCCTCCTCTGGCCTGGGTTTGCTAATCCCTGGGCGGACGGGTTGTGGGGGCGGGCGGGGGGGCTCAGGGTGTCCTCAGGTGTGGGTGAGACCCCACCTCACTGAAGGGAAGCTGAGCTTTCAGGAGAGCCAGCCTGTGACGCGTGGCTGTGTGATCCTCTCAGCTGCAGCTTCCCTGTCTGCACAGCGGCTCCTGCCGCTCTGGGGTCTAAGCCCTGGCTCCCCAGCCTGGGGGCTGGCACCCTGTTTCCGTGCCTACTCCTCCTACAGCGCGGCTCTGGCCATCTGCCCAGCTGTAGGGACTTTGGGGCCCCACGTCCAGGCTGCTCTTCACGTTGTCCAGGGCTGGACGATTGGGGCTGCTCTGTCCCTCCCTGCCCCATCCACTGGGGGGCTTGTGTGTGGGGAAGCCTGCCTCATTGGATCTGTAGGGCCTCGTGCTCATGGGCCTGCAGTTACAATCCTGCCAGAGCCCTGCCCTTCCACTGCAGGCGCACACACAGATGTACACACAGACACACACAGGTGTACGCACAGACACACACAGGTGTACGCACAGACACATTCAGGTGTACGCACGGACACCCACAGGTGTACGCACGGACACACTCAGGTGTATGTACAGACACAGGCAGACACATGCACGTGACCCAGCTGCAGTCATCTCCGCCCCCGTCCCCAGGGCAGGGAACAAGAGTTAATGACAGTCCCCTTCCCCCACGGCCCAGAGGACCTTCCTGGAACCTGGCGGCCCAAGGCCTTCCCAGGCAGCTCTGGCCAGCCTGGCCCCGCCTTCCAGGAGGACTGGCGTGGGGCCCCGCTTTAGCATTGGGCTCCCCTTCCCCTTTCTCAGAGGACAGCTTAGAGGACATCCTTGTGGGTGCTGGGAAGAACAGCAGCCCACGTCTCGGCAGCGCCCTGCGTACCAGGTGCTTTGCCCTGACATCCCACACGTGAAGCCCGTTCATCTCCACAGGATCCCTTTGGGGGGCACCACAGTGGCTACCGCCACCCTCCCTTTCTCATGAAGACGCGAGGCTTCGGGAGGTGAGCGGCTCGGCCAAGGTCACACAGCTCGGCCAGGCAGCCTGACCCCGACGGGCTCTTGGGTTTGCTGTTTAAGGACCTGCACTCGGGGATAAACCAGACTTGGCTTCACGCCTGACTGTGACCCTCTGAGTTCGAGTTTGTCTGTAAATGGGGGTGATAACTCCTGCCTCACAGAGTAAGTGGAGAAAGAAATGTGTGCTTGGCAAGCCTTGGATGGTGGCCGCTGCTATACTCACATGCCTGTGTCCCAACCTGTCATTCTGCCCCCAGTCTTGCTGTGGTGCCTGGGGGTGGAGACTTGGCCACAGGGCTGTCCCCTGCGCTGTGCTCACCCTCGGCAGGCACTGCCTGAGTGGCCCGGGCTCCCTGGACACATTGTGCTGGGGAACAGGTGGGGGAGGAGAAGGGGCGGGAGGACCCGTCCCCGCCCTAGGACTGTGCCGCCCGGAGGTGTGCTGGAGAAGACACTCAGCTCTCCCATGTGGTTAAGTTCAAGGTGACTGAGTTAGGCTACGTGAGGGCATCGGGTGGGCATGGGCAGGCTTTGGGCTGCATGGACCCCCTGTGGGGGCCTCTCCAGACCCACGCTCTCTTCGCCCCTGGGTGGTCCCAGGATGGCTGCCTGCCCACTCCCCGCCCCCCCGGGAGTGGGGCTGACCTGTCCTCCCTGTGTTCCGGGGGGCTTGCTGAAGGGGGGCTGCACGAAGAGGAAAGCCAGGACTGGCGGGGAGCACACGGATAAGTAGTCTGAACAGGCATGACGCTGCCCAGACCCTGGGAGAGGATCACGCTGAGGTTACTTAAAATAACACTTCGCATTCCTGGCATTTCCAGGGGTCCTCCGAAGAGGCTGTTCTCGCCCTCGCCATCGGGGAGGGAGCTCCTGGGAGGGTCCGCGCCCTCACAGGTGCTCACGCTGGCTCCCCAGGGCCGCCAGCCTCTGGTCTCGGGAGGAGCCAGGCCTGGCTCCAGGGCAGTTGTGATCCGCGTGGCAGCGATAACGGCCCGGACCGTGAAACCCACCTCGCCCTGCCCGCCTCGGGTCAGCAACTTGTGGAGGCCTTTCTGTATAGACATGTGGGCACCAGGGGACCGTCCCCGGCACAGGCACCATGTGTCAGACTGAGCTGAGGGGCTTGTCCAGGCAGCCCGGGGGTCACAAGTCACACAAAAGAAAGTGTCCCCCTCACTGTAGCTGCAGGGCTCCGGGGTGCCCATCTTCGTCCTGTGCCCACAGGCCGTGTGGCTGAGCCAGCCTGCATTCTAGCTCTTCTGTCTGTAACAGGACTGGGTGGACCAGCCAGTGCCTCTTAACCGCTTTGTGTCCCGAAAAGAAATCGGCTCTTTTCTAAAGGACCGTTCCCCGAAGCTCACTGTATAAAGCAGATGAGGCAAAACTGCTTTGAGGGGAGCCGTGGGGGGGGGGGGGGCAGAGAGCCTTGCCTGCCCCTGCCTGTCTCTCCACCAGGCACCTCTCTGAGACTTTCGTGGAGAAGCCCCTACTCTGTGAACAGCTTGAAAATTGTCAGACCAGACGATCGTCAAGGGCCTTCCTGGTCTGGGTTCAGATTTGGCTGTGCCAAAGCCTTTGAGGCCGTTTCAGGGTGATCTGTGACCACTCTGGGTGGTTGACGACGTCTCCTGGTATCTCAGGGAGAGAGCAGAGCAGCTCGGGTCACATGCTGTTCAGCCGGAGGGAAGCAGAGTGGGGCAGGGAAACCCACCCAGTTCTGTATAGACACAGTGTGTGTGTGCAGTGGTGTGTGTGTGGGTGAGAGATGGGTGTGGCTGGGTGTGAGGCGATGTGTGTTGGTGGTTGTGTTTGAGACTGTGGGAAGGGTGACTTGATTGTGTGCGTGTGTGTGTATGTGTCTGTGCATGTGTGTGCATGTGAATGAATATGTGTCTATGTGTGTATGAGGGTATATGTATGACTGTGTGACTGTGTAAGTGTGTATACAGTAAGTGTATGTGTATGTATGTGTATCTAAGTGGATGTGTGTGTATGTGTCTGAATGTGAGTGTGTGTGTCTGAGTATGTGTGATTGTGTGAGTATATATGTGTGTGTCTATGTCTGTGTGAGTGTGAGTGTGAGGTGTGGGACTGAGGGTACGGCCGTCCCTCCCTCCTAGCAAGGCTGTGAGGCTCATGCCTGAGGCCAGGCGCAGCCCTCACACCAAGGTCAGCACCTCCTGTGCCCCGCAGTCCCCACCCCGGGTGGAGCCAGGGTGAGGCGTGCAGCGTGGCCACCTCACCCTCAGAGGCTAAAGAGCAGGAGCAAAGCTGGCCTCTGTATTGTTGATCCGGCCGACTGTGAGGCCTTGTGGAGGTTTTATATTTCCCACTTGATTTCAAGCCCTGTTTTCTTCCCTCAGACCTTGCGTTCTTGCAGCAAATCTCACGGGCACGGGCTCCCCTGGCTCCCTGCTTTCCAAACTGCACGCCTAGAACTTTCTCCAGCACGCTCTCCTGGGCCCCAGGGATGCTCAGGGCCACTCTGAGCCAGGCCTTGCAGCGGGGTGCTCAGCCCTTTGGGAGGCCAGCGGTGACGGGCCTGGCACGGGGGTGCAGGCCTGGGGGCAGGGGAGACAGCTTGCGAAGACCCTTGGCCTTCATTACCGTGCACCTGGGCTGCCCAAGGCTGCCCTGGAAGCCCCGACCAGGAGGTGGTTTCCACGCGCTGAAGTAACTCTCGGACGGCTCAGCCAGGCGGCGAGGGCGCGGGCGTGGGGCAGCGTGGGCGCGGGCGCGGGCTTGGGCGTGGGGCGGCGGGGGCTTGGGCGTGGGGCAGAGTTGGCGTGAGCGCGGACGTGGGACGGTGCGTGCGTGGGTGCGGGCGTGGGGTGGCGAGGGCGAGGGCGCAGTGTGCGCATGGGTGTGGGCGCAGG